CTACTTTTACCAATCTATTGATTGATTGACTGGCCTATCAGTCTCTCTATCCATCTTCTACCCATCTATACATCCATTTATCTATCCATGCATCCATGCATCCATGCACCCATCTCTTTCATTATCCCCCTTTTCTCCACAGAAAGGGTTTTAGATGGCTGGGATCCTTTTAATCACTTGGTTGGCTCTCACATAGCGTAGAGCAAGGACTTGAGGAAATGAGAAGATGGACAAACCAGTTTGGATGGGGGGAGACACTGACAGGGGTCCAGGCTTGTCAGAAGCTGTCAGGTGCTGGTGGTGGCGGAAAGGGTCTCAGATATAGGAGGCAACAGATGATCAAGATAGCCTTACTTAAGGCTGGCTTCTCATGGCATGCAGGTCTGAGTAGCAGAATCAAAGGCTTTTGCCAGTCCATATGGGGAGGGGGGTGTCTTCTCCTCACTAGCAGGGCCTTGCTGAAAGTCTACCAGCATACAGCCACAACACAGGAGATGCATACATACCCCAAGGTGGAAGGCAGGCTGGGGAGGGTGGGGTAAGAAAGTGTCTCCAAGCTTTTTGTAAGACTTTATGTTTGATTACACAATAAAAAGTCCTCTGAATAATTAACAGTGGAGCTCATTTAAGTTGGTTCTGCCTGCCTCTCCCCCGAGTAATCAAATTAGGGAATATTTAAAATCCAGCCAGAGGAAGGAGCAGTACTTCAGTCCTATAAACAATATTTAAACCAGCGGCACTTTTGAAGTCTGATTTAAAGCTCACCAACTGGAAGCGTTTCTGCTTTGGAGCATTTCTTTCAAGACCACAGGGCTTTTTGCTTTTTCCTTTGCTAATGCAGCCCCTGCTGAGCCTCCAGCCTTCTCCTTGAAGTTCAAAAGCAACCCCCTTTCCCCTTTTAAAATTAAATCTGGTCCCAGCCAAGCTTTCAAAATCTTAAATATTCAGGCCCAATTGGGAAGATGGAAGTTTTCCACTAATGCTGATTTCCAAGACGGCCAAAAATCTATTGCGACTTCAAGCAGTAGGCTGAATGAGCTTAAACATGCAGCAAGATTCCCACAGACCTTAAAAAGCCCTGAACCCTTGCTCTTGCAAAGCCATTGATAAAGAAAAGTCCTGGTTAGACAGAATCAGTCTCTCTGATGTTTCATTTTCAATAACAAATAAACCAAAAAGGAAGATCAATAGGGGGAGGAAAAAATAAAACCACATGAACTGCATCCTCCACTCTACACCTCATGGAGAAGGGCAAAGCAGGTGGGCGTTCCTCCCCCCCAGCCTGGTGGGGTAATCATTAGTGCCTTTCGCCAAGTAGTCCCAGTTCTTCCCTGATCCCTGAAGTCAGGTGTAGCACTGCAACTTGCTTTGTTCAAAAATACATGAGCAAAAAGGACATGTGGCACTTTGGGCAGCTTTAAGAGCCAGTTCTCAAGTTATCAGATTCCTCTTTCTGCCTTGTGGGTAGTGGAAGCTTGTGCAGAGATGAAGCTTCTATCAGCCTGGGTAATGAGCAGAGCCCCTGGGTTGGACATGTAGGGTGAGCAAGAGACAAGTTTCTGCTGTGTTAAGCTGCTGAGATTTTGCAGTTGTTCATTATGGCAGCTGAACCTAGCTCACCTAATTGATGCCCCTGATTAACGGTCTGTGTGACCTCAGGCAAATATCTCCACCATCAGAACCAGAAAAATATTGTCTTGGTAGTTAAGAGTGGATCTAAGAATTGGGTAGACCAGCTGTTCGAATCCTCCACTTGCCCCATTGCTTCCTACGTGTGACTTTGTGGAAGTTATTTAGCCTCTCTGAGCCTCAGTGTCTTCATCTGTAAAATAGGGGAATAATACTAGCTATGCTAGAGGATTCCTGTGAAGAAGAAAAGAAATGGGGCTTGTTAAGGGCTTGCTGGGTGCCTTGTACAGAGAACTGAATATAGTTCAGCTATTAACAACAATAACATGCTTTTTTCAACAGAGATCTTAGAGTGGCTGAGAGGAGGAACTGATGATGGGTAACGAGGCACTAGGCAGATTCATGGGGGAGAAGTAGCTGTAATTTTCAGGCCATAATTTCCCTCTGCTGAAGTTTTAGGGGGGATCCTATTTGCCGGAAATCAAGGGAAGAGGGCGTTGAGCACCATCCCATCTCTTTTAACTGCTTCCGCCAAGTACATTTTGTTCCAGGTGGTCCCTTGAAGATGTCTATCCACAGTAGCAATCAGAGCAATTTTCTCAAACACTTCACTCTTTCTGAACTTGCTTGTGGGGTAAAACATTGCTTCTCAAGGTAGAAAGTCTGTTGGCTAGTTTAGGATGTGTTCCTGTGTTCATGTGTCCATGACTGAGGGGGAAAACTGCTGATTTTGTACCAGGGAGCTGGCAGAGGTCAAAGCTCTTGGTATCTTCCAAGCCAGGTGGCTCCATCCTGCCTCCTGAGTGATAATCGGATCATCCTGCCACGTTTTCCCAATCTGGAGATGCCCACTGGTGCACCAAAGTGAGGGTGCGATATAATTAAATTGTTGTGAAGAAGAAAGCAGGAGAAATCCTGAGAAATCAGAGATTTCACTCAGATGTCACCTTCTGAGTGAGTCTACCCTTGGCGATCCAATTTAAAAGTAAACCACCCTACCCTGTTACTGTCACATCATCCATCAATTTCTTCATGTCAGCTGTTGCTATCTCAAAGTGTCATGATTATTACATGTTTATTGTCTGTTGCTCCCTCCCACTACCCTTACAATGGAAGCTCCTGAGAGCAGAACCATTGCCTGTTTTCTTCACTGCTGTACCCCCAGTAGTGCCTGGAAACAGTAGGTTTGAGGAAAATGAGAATTTTTCGGTTGTTGGGGGGGGTACTACATGACAAGGGGGGAAAATTTAAATACAAACAACTTTAAAAAAATCGCTATTATGTGTATTGTTCAGAACGATGCTGCATTGTTTCATGGAAGCAGAAACTTGAAAAAGACTTAAAGGTCTTGGAGGATTGGTTAAATGTGTTTCTGTACATTCATATGTTGATAAACTCCACAGCACAGATTCAGACATACAGAAATGCTCCTTACATATTAAATTAAACAGCAAAAATTTAGTTGCAAAACAGTATTGCAGAATGGCACTTTTAATTATTTTATAAAAGCAAGTTATATATCATATCATCTTGATAAGTCGGGTCCCTATTATATCCTGGGGCCCACTAGTAAGTGCCATTTTGTTTTGTTTTGTTTTTGGCAGTTGGCTGATTCAGGGATTGAACCATGGACCTTGGTGTTCTCACCACCACGCTCTAACCAACTGAGTTCCGTAAGCGCCACTTTGTAATGAGATATATATTTTTTGGAGGGGGACACAAGATTATTCTCTAAATTAATTGAAGACTTTGGGCTTTAGCTACAAACAGAGGAAATTGTTTAGCAGCTAGGCT